TTTATGAATATTTTGGTTTGTTTTTTCTTTCATTTCTTGCATTTTTTGCTTTGTTTTTTCATCCATTTCTTTGAGGGATTTTCCTATATCCTCTTTTAGGCCTCTATCATTTTCATGAAGGTGTTTTTAAAGTCATTCTCTTCTGCTTCATTTGCATTGGGATGTTGGAGTCTCTAGAATCTGGCAGTGTCATATTTCTTTTTCTGTTGCTGAGTGTGTTTTTGTATTGTCTCTTTCCCATCTCTTCTCCCAGTAGGTGGAGAAAGAGCCCCTTACTGGTCTGGTGGTTAGGGGACCAGAGTTCCCTTTCGGTGGGTGCTAGCAAGTCCAATAATCTGTTAGTTCTTCTATTCCTCGTCCTCATTCTGGTCCCATGGTTGGAGAAGAAGACCGGGAATCTTGGGTGCTTAGTCTCCCACCTGGTCCCCTGGTCCCTTTGCTGGAAGAGAAGACTTAGGATCTGGGGTGCTCCTGCCAGGATGGGAATCTCTGTTGCTATCCCCAGTCACTGGAAGGCAAGCCCGGGATGTGGGGCCTTGCTTACTTGGATCTGCTGGTTTCCTGGTCTTGTTGCTGGAAGAGAAGACCTGGAATCTGGGGTGCTTGGCTCCTGCTGGGTTTGGAAGCTCTGTGAAGTTCCCAGGCAATCCCCAGGCACTGGAATCCTAAATAAATTTTTACTTTAGGAATGGGCTACATATTAGATCCAGCTTGAACAATCTGAGTCTTGCGTCAGAAGTGTTCTGTGTCATCAGCACTATAGGCCTAGCTTCAACATCTGAGAACAAACAAGAATGACATCCATGTCGCACCTGCTGTGTAGCCTGCATCCAAGAATGTAGTGAGGTGGTGGGGATAGATGACACAGAGACCGGTCGGTTGCTTTAAGAAAACTTTATGCTTCCCCAGTCAGCTTAGGAGGAGACCCCAAGTCTGCTTAGGAGAACCTCCCCAAGAAAAAACACTTCCCTTTTTAAGGACTTCTGCCATCCATCTACATACAATTCTTCCCAGACTTCTCACCCTCCTGGCTGGTGGTTTAATCTCCGGCCCCAGAATGGGGGAGACACAGCAGGGAGCAGGAAGAGGCATCTAGCCATATGGGGGATCAAAGTCATGGTGTTTCAGTGAGCAAGCCCTTATCTGAGCCCTATCAAGAGCTTTATAGCACTGAATTGTGTTCAGTAAACATTATCTCGCAGTTGCCTGCTCCCAGGCCGAAGGGGAAGTGGGTTTCTGCTCAAGGTCTGGTGTCCCCACACATCCATATTGTTTTGGGAGTCATTTGAACTCTCCTGACAAACCATACAAAAGGAGGTTTCTTCAGTCTGGCACTGGGGTTTTCATCAGTCTTGTTCTTATGGGGACTGTTGCATGCTCGGTGGCATAACTTTTATAAGTTACTGTCTTAGTTAAATTTTGTATTGCTGTGAAGAGACACCATGATCATGACAACTCTTATAAAAAAGAAACATTTAACAGAGTGTGTCTTGCTTACAGTATCAGAGATTCAGTCCATTATCATCATGGTGAGGTGTATGATGGTATGCAGGCAGATGCATTGGAGCTGAGAGTCCTACATCTTTCAGGCAACAGGAAATCAACTGAAACACTGGGTGATAACCTGAGTACAGTAAACATCAAAGTCTGCCCCCAGAAGAACATACTTCCTGCAACAAGGCTATACCCACTCCAAAATTCTACTCCTCCTAATAGTGCCACTCCCTATGAGATTATGGGGGCCAATTATATACAGTATACCACATTCCTTTCCCTGGCCTTCATAAGCTTATAACAATATCATAATGCAAAATGCATTTATTCTAACTTCAAAAGTCCCCATAGCCTCTCTCAGTCTCAACAATGTTTTAAAATCCAAACATCAAAGTCCCCTCTGAGATTCATGTAATCTCTTAACTGTAACCACCTGTAAATATTTCTACTCCCTGTTAGAAGCTTTTCTTGACAAGTATCCACTGGTCTGTTACCTCTAACCTCTTGGATTCTCGAAGGCAAGTCAGGCTTCAACTTCACAACTTCATGCAATGGCCTCTCCACTAGGCCTCCATTCAGGGACATCCCTGACACATGCCTGGCCTGGGCAGTTTCATTCCACAGCTTCTTTCTTCCTTCCTTACCTCTAAACCCAGAACCACATGGCTGAAGCTGCCAAGTTCTGCTGTTCTCTGGGGCTTGCACATGGCCCCCTATTCAATTACATCTTCACCAGATTTGTTTTTGATTGTTACCTTTACTGCCTAAGCTTGGCTGTCCTTGAACTTGCTCCGTAGTCCAGGCTGGCCTCAAACTCAGGGATCCACAAGTCGTTGCTGTCCCAGTGCTGGAATTAAAGGTGTGCCCACTCCATACCCAACTCTAAGCATTTCTTTAATTCCTTTTCACAAGTTGGATGTGATCTTTCCCTGAGGTCACCACTCCCTTTAATCCATTTCTTAATAAGTTTATCTCCTTGGACACAGGACTTAGCTCTTTTCCACTTCCTGGTATCCCTTTTCTCAATCTGTAAATTTTGTATTTTACCATGCTCACCTTGCTCCTTTTCATTATAAATCTTCATTGGAGTTACCTCTAATAACCACACATCAGAATCTATACTATGCTGTTTTAAGATTTCCTCTGTTAACGGAATTATTCCACAACTCTTCACTTTAGTCTCAGGCAGACTCTTCAGACAAAGGCAAAAATCAGCCTCTTTCTTCACCAAAATATCACAAGAATGATTTCTAGGCAACCCACTAAAATTCTTCTCTGATACTTCTTGAGCCAGCCTCCCACAGTTCAAATCACTTTTAGCACCTCTGTCTTCCATGCTTCTACTAGTATGGCCCATCAATCAGTGCTGAAAGCAATCCACTGATTTTCCAGTCCAAACTATTCAATTTGAGAGTAGGGGAAGACACAGGATGAACTTGGGTGAGAGAAAATGGGAGAGGCTGGAGTGAAGAAAAGGGAGAGTGGAATAATGTGATTATGTCCTAATTAAAATATATTCTTAAAATAAATGAATAGCAATGTTATAAGATTTTATCAGACACAGGGGTATGGGGAAATTACAGTTGGGGATGAGGGATAACCCAAAAGAAGGGTTCAAAAAAAGGAAAACATGTAGAAGCCTACTATCTCACTAGCTAACTAAAATACATTTGGAGAGTGGCAGAATACATGTGATATAAAAGGGGGAGGAATACTGTGGCTAAAATCTTAAGCAGGAATTGAGGTGGAGAGACTGAGGAGAGAAGGCAGTACTGTGTGGATTAACTAGAAATAAGGGTGTATGAAAAAGACTTATTGAAACCCACTAGTCAGTAAATTAATTTCAAAATATAACTGTTAAAAAAGAGTTCAAATGGAGGTTCCCTGCATGAGTGCCCAAAACCACTCCCAGAAGACATTGGCATGTAGGCATGTGCCTTAATTAAAGTTTCTATTGCTGTGAAGAGACACCATGACTACAGCAACTCTCACAAAAGAAAACATTTAACTGAGGTGGCAGTTTGCAGTCTCAGAGGTTTAGCCTAGTATCATCATGATAGGAAACATGGCAACATGCAGGTAGACATGGTGCTGGAGAAGGAGCTGCTACATGCTGCGATACAGGCAACAGGAAGTAGACTGTCTCACTGGGAGTGACTTGAGCATGGGAGACCTTGAAGGGTATATTGGAACCTACCCTTCTTTCTTTTCTCTGCTTCCTGAGCCCTATTGGGTAAGTCTTCCTCACCACATAGTCAGCCATAATGTCCTGCTTTATTTTACCACAGGCTAAAAAGCAGAGGATCAAGTGATCCTGGACTAAAACTCCAAAATTATGAACCAAGAGAAACCTCTAGTTTTTTATAAGTTGATGTAGTTAAGGTATTTTATTATAAGATATATAAAATATTATAAATATAAAAAGTTATCATAAAATATATATAAAACTTTAGAAAGTCACCAAGCCACATTCAAGCAAATCAATAGAATCTGCCATAATCCTCACTACATGAGCTCATCATTCCCTCTTTCATATCCATACTGAAGTGTCCTGATAACTTACCACATTCATGACAATTAGTGGCTCTCATAACTACTTCACCTACCAAGCTAAGTCAAGCAGAACTGCCTACTAGGTTTTGGTCCCCCTGGTTCTAACAGAGGCCTGGTATAGTTAGACTGTTTGCAAAAGAATAGATGGATGAAGGCACAATTACATGGATATCAGGTTCTATGTGCAGAAATTTCATTTATGATTAATTTCTTAGAATTATTTTTATTAATTAAATTTGTCCATTTATTTTACATTCTGACCACAGTTTCCCCTCCCTCCTCCCCTCCCATTCCCAATCCCCAATCTAGTCTCTGCCACCCCACCACCAATCCATTCTTCCTCTGTTTCTGATCAGAAAGGGGCAGGCCTCCCATGGGGTTTAGTAAAGCATGGTACATCAAGTTGAGGTAGGATTAAGCTCTTCCCTTGTATTTAGGCTGGGCAAGGCCATTCAGCTTGAGGAATAGGCTCCCCAAAGCAGCTAAAACATTAGGGACAGACCCTGCTCCCACTGCTAGGAGTGGGAGAATTATTTTGTTTTTAAGCATTGTTTTTATTAAATGTATTCTTGAATAAATTTTATTAAATGTACATAATGTACTCTGGTTACTCTCATTCCCCAACCTTCTGTATTCTGTCTCCCCCCCCCTTGAAGCCTCTCCCTGCTAGAAGTTTCTTTTTCACATCCGTATCTTCTTGTTCAGTCTTGTGGCCCACTGAGCTTCACAGGGTTGTCTGTGTGCAGCTCCTCCAGTAGCATCTCACTTATGTTCCAGGGTCTGAATGGAATGCAGTGACAGAACTGCCTTAGCTTCACCGAAAGGGTGTGTGTGTGTGTGTGTGTGTGTGCAGTTAATGAGACTTGCCTTTGTAAATAACCCTTCTGAGTGGTTCTGCTTCTGTTACACATGGATATTATTTCAGTAACTAATTTATTTGTGGTGTTTTCCTGGCCTGTAGCTGGCAATGGGCAGGAGGTCCCAGTTAGGCACTAGCAATTACTATGGTGCTGCAACTTAACCCAGGCATCACAAAGAAGGGTGCCAGAGGCTCAAAGGCAGCACATCAGTAACTAATTTCTAACTAAACTGTTAGATGACATAAATCACAAGGTCTCCTGGGCTCTAGAATTCTTGGAACTTGAGTCACAGTATTGTGCCTGGAGGAGTGAACTTTTCTTGAATGATTAAAAAGTTTTCTAGACATGTTGACTGTTTTCCACAACACTGGGCTCTAGAACAGGAAACGTACTATTTTTATTCCCCTTATGTTCCTACATTAGTTTCAAGAACTCATTGTACATTTAATGAAGAAGTGTTAATTATGTGAGTAAGGATTGTGTTTCTCCTCTCAGTTATATCATTTGAACTTAATTAAGAATGGTACAGAGGCCTGCTTCTTAGGACATTTACATACTGTGTTTAGTTTAATGAGTTCTGAATCTGTTCCATGAAGTCAGAGTATTACAGAATCACCAAATTGAATTCTGGATGTGTTTAAAACTTAATAATTTGGGATAAGACCCATGAGGCTTAGTTTTCTAATCTGTTTAGGTATGAGCTTCTAGTGCACTTGTAATTACTAGGAATCCTAACTTGGCAGTGGTACTGCGCTGACACTGATTTTATTTTTAATTTATCACCATGAAATTGTGACCGAAATTTTCATACATATTTATATTTCCTGAATATTCATCCTGATAATTTGTATGTATATGTTTTCTGTGGGATTATTTTTGGTCAGATTCCATATTCCTGACTTCACTTTGCAGATACATAACATTATGTTTAGGATTAAGCATTGTCTATATCTTACAGGTAGATAATTTAAATCAAGGATAGAGAGTTTAGGGAACTTTCTCAAGTTCAAATACAGAAGTGGAAGAACTAGAATTTGAGCTCATGATTTGTGTCATAACTACAGCTCATGCTCTCTGGGCATTGCTGAACCAAGGGTATCTTTAGGTGGGACTCTGCCATAATACAATGGTCAGCAAATATTAAGTGCTGAATACTGCCTGACTGAACACACAATGGATAAAAGTTTGCAAAGTGAAGATATATGATGTATGGAAATTCTGAGCACAAACTTGGGATATAGATTGATAAGTATTAGCCCAATTTTATAGGTAATAAAACCTAGCCTGCAAAAACAACAGAACTAAGCATAAATAGAAAAGGAATGTCTGAGAGTCACAACAGGTCTTTTATCCCCACCATCAGTCCTATCTTCATCTCATCTTCTCTTACTATCCTCCAACAAGAAGAACCCTCAAAATAAGGTCCAGAGAAGACGTCAGCACAGTGCTGATGAAGTCTGACTTTGGTACCAGCACACATTCCAGACCAACCCAAATCCTTTTAGTGAAAGAATATAAACTAACATGCATTTTGGGGCATCCCTTGTTAAACATGAATAGTAGAAGCTTGCCATTCAGCTATGGTAAGCAATAAAGGAGATAACATGGTGACCTTGCATCACAGTTAAACCTGAGGACACATCACACACCATCTTGCCCACTCTGCTGTAAAAACGGGGTCCCCTGATGTGGCATCACTGTGTCATATTGCAGAGTCACTGCCTTCCATACATCACTTAATTCTTGAAATTAAAGCAAAAATAAGCTTCTGCTCACTTGCAAGCCTAACCTCTCTCTAATAAGGCACATTTTGACTATATAGATAATATCTGCTGGCAGGAATAAGAGGAGATAACCAGAAGTAAATATTCTCTTTTCATTCTAGGCATTTTACTTGATTCATATAGTATATGCATAATGAAGATACTTGCTTTGTATTTATATTAGAAATATGTAAGTGATACAGATAACTATTAATCAAAAATAAATAAATGCTGATTCCAAAGAAGCCAAAGACATGCTTGTCCTCATTCCTTTGTTAAAGCTCAAATGCCAACAGGCTACTCCTGGACAGAGGACTGAGACCTGGAAGAAGGCACACAAACAAGAGGCTTGGAGACTTGAGGGTGACACTGGCGGAGAACACGTTGTGTTCTTACCTCACATATTCAGGCTAAATACCAAGGAAGCTGGCAACCCGGAAATGCCAATGGTCTATGAAAGAAATGTACCTGCAAAACATGTGCTGTCTCAGGCTAGGAAAGAGGCAGTACAGAACGGAGGAAACATTTAAGAAAAAATGTGTTACTAATCATTGTATTCCATGAAAACACTACATAAAACACCTCCAGCCATGCCTGCCCACACAGGAAAGGTCATGGGGAGACTTAGACCCAAGCCAGGCTATGAGGAAACATGCTCTCTGCTCCCTTGTCAGGTGGCACTAGAGAAACCACATTGAGAACTGTGATTTCCATCCCTGAATGGCTCTCTAAGCCATTGTCAGTGGAACCACACAGGCATCCCACAATCAGGCAATACAGTGTGTGTGAGAGAGAGTCCATGGAGGCCCAATGAGGGTCAGCACTTTCACCACACTCAGAAATAATAACCATACACCTGTGGCATTAGTGGAGAATTATCGGGAGTAATAAGGTACCCCATCCTCTCACAGGATATCTAAAAGGATTTAGTGGAGAGCTGAGCTCCAGTCTGACCCCACAGCCACAAGAGGCCCTTCTCCCTAGATGCTAGTAGAATCGTGGTAGAAAACCCAAGTGGACTCCTACAGTGCACCAACAGGGTAGTACCCCAATAATGGGAGCAAGGTCTCAGTGGAACTTCCTCCAACTCAGGTGGCACCCAAATTCAGATTTAAAGTGATTCCCTCATATCAGGAACCATTAATTTCCTGCACTTAAAAACAGAAAAGATAATCAAAACAAGTCAAGACTAGAATATGGTAAGAGATGAGAAGTGAAAGCAGCAATTTTTTCTTTTTATTTATTTAATTTGGAAACAGTCATACCAATACCAGTTCCCTCTCCCTCCCATGCTCCACACTGACACCCCATCTCACCCCCATCCACTCCCCAAGAAGGGCGAGGCCTTCCATGGGGCATCATCAAAGTCTGTCACATCATTTGGGGGAGAATCTAGGCCCTCCTCCATGTATCCAGGCTGAGCGAGTATCCCTCCATGGGGAATGGGCTCCTAAAGTTCATTTGTACACTAGGGATAAATGGTGTTTCCACTGTCAGAGGCTCCATAGACTACCCAGGCCTCCTAACTGTCACCCACATTCAGAAGGCTTGGTTCAGTCCAATGCTGGTTCCCCAGTTTTACCACTGGGGTCTATGTGCTCTCAATTGGTCAGGTCAGCTGTTTCTGTGGGTTTCTCCATTACGGTCTTGACCCGTTTGCTCATCCCTCCTCCCTCTCTACAACTGAATTCCAGGAGATTGGCTCAGTGCTTAGCTGCTTCTGCTTCCATCAGCTACTGGATGAAGGCTCTAGAATGTAATTTAAGGTAGTCATCAATCTCATTATAGGGGACAGGTATTTAAGGTAGCCTCTTCACTGTTGCTTAGATTATTAGTTGAGGTTATTTTTGTGGATTTCTGGAAATTTCCCCAGTGCCGGACTTTTATTTAAACCTATAATGGCTCCCTCTATTAAGGTATCTCTTTCCTTTCTCTCCTCTATTCTCCCCCTACCACACCCCAGCCTCAGACTCAGTCTTCCTAATACCTCATGTTCTCTTTCCCCCTACTCTTCTCCCCTTCTCTGTTTCCTACCTCCTTCCCCCTCCCAGAGTGCTCCCAATATGCTTAGGAGCTCTTTTCCCTTTCAGCTTCTCCAGGGGACCATGTATGTCTCTCTCAGGGTCCTCCTTGTTTCCTAGCTTCTCTGGAGGTGTGGATTGTACTTCACTGACCTTGAAAGAAAAATACTCAACTTTATATTTAAAAAAAAGCCCAGGATAGCTAAAACAATCCTGAACAATAAATGAACTTCAAGAGACATCACCATCCCTGACTTCAAGCTCTCCTATAGAACTACTGCAATGAAAACATCTTGGTATTGGCACAAAAATAGAAAGGTAGACTAATGGAATTGAATTGAAAACCTTGATATTATTCCACACACCTATAAACATCTTTTTTTTACGAGATAGGGTTTCTCTGTATTGTTTTGGAGGCTGTCGGTCCAGCCTGGCCTCAAACTCACAGAGATCCGCCTGCCTCTGCCTCCTGAGTGCTGGGATTAAAGGCGTGTGCCACCACCACCTGACACACCTTATTTTTTTAAAAAGAAGCTATACCTATACAATGGCAAAAAGAAAGCATCTTCAACAAATGGTGCTGGCATAACTCAATGCTGACCTGTAGAAGATAGACCCTTATTTATCACTATGTACAAAACTTAAGTCCAAATGGATAAAAGACCTCAACATAAATCCAGCCACACTGAACCTCTTAGAAGAGAAAGTGGAGGTACCCTTGAATGAATTGGGATAGGAGACCCCTTCCTGAACATAATGCCAGTAGCACAGACACTGAGACTGACAATTAGTAAATGGGACCTCCTGAAACTGAGAAACTTCTGTAAGGCAAAGGACACAGTCAGCAAGACAAAATGGCAGCCCACAGAATCAGAAAAGATGTTGACCAACCCCACATCTGGCAGAGGGCTGATTTCCAAAATATACAAAGAACTCAAGAAGCTAGTCACCAAAACAGCAAATAATCCAACTAAAATGTGGGGTAGAGAACTAAACAGAATTCTCAATAGAGTAATCTAAGATGGCTGAAAGACACTTAAGAAATTGCTTAACACGCTTAGCCATCAGGGCAATGCAAATAAAAACAACACTGAGATGCCATCTTACACCTGACAGAATGGCTAAAATGAAAAACACCAATGACAGTTTATGCTGGTAAGAGTGCAGCTACTTTGGGAATCAGTATGGAAGTTCCTCAGGAAAATGGGAATCAGTCTACCACAAGACCCAGCAATTCCACTCTTGGGCATATACCCAAGAGATGCACATTCATATAACAAGGACATTTGTTCAACTATGTTCAAGGCAGCATTGTTTGTAATAGCCAGAACCTTGAAGCAACTTAGATTCCCCTCAACTGAAGAATGGATGAAGAAAATGTGGTACATTTACACAATTACTCAGTGGAAAAAACAATGGAA